AAAAATGATTAACAGATATCATTTAGCCCTTGACTTTGGATTGTCACTTATTCACCAGAGCTGCCTAGAAAATGTTCTTTCCCCCTCCTTCAAGACCAGCCAGAAGCAAAATATGTCCTTAGTTTCTAGTGGTTAGAAAAAGAGAGAAAATGTTGCTTTGACCTTGAGCTATTCTGATGGGTCTGTTCAGGTTCAAACTGGGCCCATCACCATGTTCACTCCGGATCACTTTTTCATGATTGGCAGATCTGCTTGGGGAATGAAAAATGCTGCTAATATCAGCCTGAAAAAATATCAGGAAATTAAATCTGTGGCTTAAATCCCACACTGCTTTCTGGCTCTGGTCTGTCTCCTAACTGGGATCTCTTCCTTCCGGCCTCCTCCCCCTCCTCTGGTTCTCCCACCCTCTCTCTTCCCTCCCACAGCTTCCCCTCCTCCCCTCTTGTCTTTCTTATCCTATAGAGCCTCTGGCCTGCTTTTTTTCTTCTCTCTGGGCTCCTCCCTGGTGGCTTCAAGCTTCTCTTCCTGTCTCTAGGCTTCCAGCTTTTCCCCAGCTCCACGGAAGCATCTGTCTGTTTCTCTTTCACTTCCCATCAGGGAGTCCTAAATGCTGAATAGGCCCTTCAGACCAGGCCCTGAAGGGGACTTGGCTGGGGCAGTGGGGGGTGGGGGGTGCTGGGGACCTGCTGAGGCTATACAGAAGCCTATTGATAAGCAGTCCTTCCACACAGACAACCCTGTCCAGTCTCCGTGGCTCCAGTGGAGAGCGGCGATCCTTGAGGTGGTGGCCAACATCCCGGCCACCATGAATGACCTCAGTGTCTTCGGTGGGCAGGGGGACCTTCTCTCTGGAGCCTCCAAATCCTTCAGACCAATCAATCCCACCATGGGTGTGAATATATTCATCTTGAAAATAATTTGTCAGTACATCTCCATCAGTGGTGCTGATTTCATTAATTGGAAGAATTAGCTCTTTGTGGCCAATGAAAGAATATGGAGCCAAAACACACGGAATACTTTTCCCCAGTGACCCAGAGACCCTTGGACGAACTCCTGGGTGCCATGAAAATGGATCGTTTAGCAGAAAGAATACCATTGGATGTTTATTTAACATCACTCCCCATTCCCCCAAAAAGACCTTCGAAATGCTCTCACATCTGGCTGCTTTTCTTCCCTCACTTTTTTGTGCAGAGCCAGGGCAGGGAGGAAACTTCATCAGTCTGAAAACATCCAGCAGCAAAGTGTAAATTAAATGTGCAGAGAGGCCAGGGGAGGGGGAGCCTTACATCCTGGGGATGGAGTAAAAGACTGAGTCCTCACCCCGACTCCATACAGGCGAGCTGGTTTTCACCTGGTGTCTCCCATTAGGAGCTGTGTGACCTTAGGCAAGACAATTAACCTTTCTGAGCCTCAGTTTCCTTCTAGTAAAATAGGAAAATAAGCACATATTGGAGGGCAAAAGGGAATAAAGTATGTAAAGTGTATGGCATATGGATACTTGATTGATGGTAGCTACTATTGTGGTTGCTGGGATCAAAACCAGAAGAGAGTCCCAACTGTTTCCATGCCTCAGAGACTCACCATTGCTGGCCCCATTCGGGGAGACAGATGGGCAAAAGTAAGTCCTATGGGATGAGACAGATGGACAGAAAAGGGTGATCAAGGGGATCGTATGGAATGACAGGCCAATGGGGAAACAGGCAGATGGAACATCTCGTGGGGAAGGCAGATTGATGACAACCCAGAGGAGACCCTGAGAGACAGCATCCCACGGGAAGGACAGATGGATGAGGATCCAACAGGGGAGACAGAGATGACAGACCAAAGAGGAAGACAGATGGACGGTGATTTCATATGGGGAGTGAGCAACCCTGTGACTGGGGGGAACAGATGGACAGCACGCTGACGATGGAGCCCGGGCTTCCTGTTTAGTCTCTGTTCCTCAGGCCTGGACATCCCTGAATTCATAAGAACCTTGGGGCTCTGTGAGGATGAGAGAGAGAGAGAAAGAACGAGAGAGAAAGAACTTCACATGGCCTGAGAAGACATGAGGCACTAGGGTTAGTCTGGCCTCTGTTCCTCCCTCCTCCCACGGCCCCTCCCTGGGTGGCCCCATAGATAAAGGCTCAGCCATGATGATGATGAGGAGGAAGAGAAGGAGGGACAAGAACTGCTTTTGGAAAGAAAGGGAAAATAAAAACTAGCTAAAAGTTTTATTTATTTAAAATAAAGGCTCAGTTATGCTTGACTGTAAACATGCAGGCCCATCCCTCCCTCCCTGGCTCTTCTTGTGGCAGAGGGCTTGGACCACACAGCGTGCTGGGGGCAGGAGGCAGAGAGAAGGCCAGTGTAGGCGGGGGTGGGGGGGGTTGGGGGGAAGGGGTGGGACTAGGGTGCCCCAGGTGTGGGGAGGGGAGAGAGGCTGGGGAGAGGGGCTGTGGAAGTCAGTGACCTGCTGAGCACAGCTGGGCTGGGCTGGCTAGACCCTCTGGCCCTGGCTCCCAGTCCGTCAGCATACACCACCAACAGTCCATATGGCTTCAGCCTCACCTGCAGCACATGTGCGCCACAACATGGGGATGCCAGGGACAGACAGACAGACAGACACACACACACAAACACACACAGGTGTGCAGGCCTTTCTCCCAACTCTGTCTCCATCTCTTTGTCATAGCTAGCACAGTGGGGTCCTTGGGGATGTGGGCACATCTCCAGCTGTGAGTCACATCTTCTGTTTAAACTAGAAATCCTACCTGCCTTTTGTCCTCTTTCTTGCAGGTTCCACCTGAATTCCTTCCATGCTTTTCAGCGACTGAACCGTTTGGGTGGCCTGGAAGATCTTGTGAGCTCCCTAGAGAGAGGAGAGACAGTGTGGATGGAGAAGAATCTGGAGGAGAGAGAAGTCTGGGGACCCTGCCTTTCAAGTCTTTTGTGTGAGGGCTGCGTTGGTGGCCTCACTAGCCAGGGAAGGGCTATGGTATGCAGGGTCAGGCGGGAATAAGCAGGAAATGTTTGTGATAAGAGGCTTTGCTTCATTCAAACTCCTCCTGTTTCCAGACCCAGCTGCAGGATAAGGGCCCATGAACTGAGCAGGGAGCCTTGGAGGAGGCTGCTGCCAGAGCTAGCCTTTGGGATTGCAGCAGGAAGAGTTGGAATCGGAGGCCCCTGGGGGCCCTGAAGTCCATGCCCGGGGATAGAAACAACCCTGGGAATCCAGCCAGGGCTGTCTTCCTTTGGGATCAGGAATTTCAATCATACTTCAGAGGGCCAAATCAATCCCTTAAGAAAAATAAAAGAAAACAAACCCAGGATTTGTTAATCCAAGTTGCTGAGAGGGTGGAGCAGGTGGGAACCATAGCCTTGACCCCCCAGGGGATTTCATGCCCTGGATTGGTCCTAGTTGGAGCCATTCACTAATGTTGACCAGTAGAAATGGAAAATGGAAGGGTGTACTGACAAAGACAGTACTGGAAGCTCTGAGAAGGAATCCATCCCAAGGGGATCATCTGCTGGGGATAAATAGAGTCATCGAACATGTGTCATGCAGGCATTTGCAAAGCTTGGTGCCCCTTAGATTTCCAGTGTCTCCTCTTTGCCCAAGGCCCAGTGACTGCACCATCTGTGGTTGACTTGGCCAGCTCACAAAAGAGCGGGATGTGCTGCACAGAAACACCCCATGAGTGGGAGTGAGGCTGCAGGTCACTTGCTGTTGTACCAGTCCCCCTTCTTAAGGATTAGCAGCTTCTATCTATCCCTAGAGGCTGCACTGTAAATGCCTGTGTAATGCTAATTTGTGGTTGGCAGGAGATGGATTGGGAAGGAGCAGAACAATGGCAAGAGGAGGCTGAACTCCCTCCTCCCCCTAGTGTAATGGTATGTGTCTTCTAGCAGAAATGTAGCAACAAGCCCATAGAGAAGCTGATTATTCAGACAGGATGAAGATTTACTCACCGATGCCCAGAATCTGAAAGGCAAGTCTGGAGTGGAGAGATGTGCTATGAAGCACAAATTGCAGATATTTTGATGGGAGTAAGTGACACCCCATCACTTTTACCATACTCTTTTCATTAGAACCAAGTCCTTAGGTCCAGCCCACGCTTAGAGGAAGGGATTACATGGGAGGCAAGAATCACTGAGAGCCATTTCGGAAGCTGCCTACACTTCGTAAAACCCTTAAAAAGCTCCCGGCCAAGGGCCTGGCACAGAGCAAGTGCTCAAGTAATTGTTACTTGGACCGATGCCTCATCTAGGAGGTGAGCGAGGTTGTCCCACAGTGGCCTGGGTCTCTTCGGTTCCATCTTGATTCCTGTTGGTACTGCTGGGTTTTCTCCAAAGGCTTTTCCCTCTGACACTGTGAGGTTGTGACTGGGCTCTCTGGGTGGGGCCGGCAGAGAGGATAGAGAGGATAGATGCTAACTTACACTCCTGCTGTCTTCCAAACAGCCTCTTCATGACCATGTGTGGTCTTGCTTTGTGGTCAGTGTACAGATATTTTAATTTCCTGCTCACCTGCTCAGAGGAGGATCTGATTTCTCCTTGCATTTATTTTTCTCTCTGGCAGCCTGTGGACAGGTATTTCTGTCTGACCATCTGGTAGCCATTCACCTTTATGGTGGCTTGAGAAAGGAATCAATTTCACTTGTTTCTTTAGTAATATCTGCCTCTTTTGACAGCAAGTTACCTTTATCACCTCTTAAAATTCTTACTATGTTGGACCTTCTGGTACCTTGGGGGCTCTTTCAATCCCTGACTTTGTACAACTGCATCTCCCTCTTTGGTTTAGCTTCTCATGCCTTTTTTTTTGTACTGTGGTTTAATACATTCCATATAAACTTCTAAGTCTGCTGGTACCTCTCCCCACCCACTGCCTGCTGAGAGGGACAGATTCTTCCTGACTAGATCAAGTCTAAAACAATCAGAAAACAATCAACTGAAAGAGAAAAGCTGACCTCTGCCCTCATCCTTCCCCTCTGCAGACATCTTGAGGCCTTTTGTCTAATTGTGGTGGGTTATCTGGGGAGGGCAAGAAATGGGAAAGACAGAGCAAATTTCTGGGCAAGAATGAGGTGGGAGGTGGAGCTTCCTCCTCTTGCTCTGGTTTTGTATCCAGGGTGTTTCCAGGGCCTACCGCCTCTTCCGAGACTACTAGAAGGTGAGGAGCCATGGATTGGTATCCTAATAACAGATGGGACATCAGAGGCCTCTGGTAAGAAGTGTAAGCTCAGCTCACCGTGCTCTGTTGTGTTTTTGTTGGAAGAAGTATTGAAAAAAGGAGTGATCATGCACTGGCCTATCTAGCCATAGAATACGAACACTTAGGGTGAGTGGCAGGGAACACCTTTTCTGAAAATGATGCTACATGGAATGGATGATTAATTCCCTGGTTAAAATGATGCCAGACTGTCTTTCAGAATCTTAAAACTCCTCCCAATCTCCTCCACATACTAGTTACTAATTGGATAATGAATACGGTCACCGTTGTAGGGCGTGTTGCTCCAGTGTGGTGGTCGAGAGTGTGCACTCCTGTTTACAACAGCAAAGACATGGAACCAACCCAAATGCCTGCCAACAATAGACTGGTTAAAGAAAATGTGGTACATATACACCATGGAATACTATGCAGCCGTAACAAGGAATGTTGCAGGGACATGGATGAAGCTGGAAGCCATCATCCTCAGCAAACTAACACAGGAACAGAAAACCGAACACGGCATGTTCTCACTCATAAGTGGAAGCTGAGCAATGAGATCACATGGACACAGGGAGGGGAACAGCACAAACCGAGGCCTGTCTGGTGTGGGGAAGGGAGGGAGAGCATCAGGACAAATAGCTAATGCATGTAGGGTTGAAACCTAGACAATGGGTTGATGGGTGCAGCAAACCACCATGACACAGGTATACCTATGTAACAAACCTGTGCCGTCTGCACACGTATCCCAGAGCTTAAAAATGTAAAAAAATTACACTGAAAAGAAGTGTGCACTCTGGTTAGATAGGCTTTGGTTTAGATCCCAGCTCCTTTACTTACTAGCTATGTAACCTTAGCTATCCTCTCAAAAATGTCCATTTTCTCATCTGTAAAATGGGTATGTGAGCGTTTCTATTCTCACAAGATTGTTATAAGAGTTACACAAAGTAATAAATAAGAGATAATAAATGCATATAGAGTCTAGTGAGTAGTAAACCCTCAAAGTCTATTATGTCTTATGATCTCTGTCCCTAAGACCTTCCAGCAGCTGAAGCCTCAGATTTTGCAGCTTACCATCTCTGCTGTACATCTTACTTAATGGGTGCTGTTCCTGTCTTCCCCCTCCCTTGAATGTTGAGCTGCCACAGTAATTGCATCGGTGTACCCTCACCCCAATCCCCCTCCTAGACATTCTGTCCCTGGAACCTTGGCCCTGCTCCTCGAACCCCCTCTCTACACTTTTCTCTGAGTGGGAGTGTGAGTCAGTCTCCAAGTCCAGTCTGCATAGCTTTGTGGAGTGTCCCCTGGGAGCTGAGGGACGGTCCGGCTGGGAGGTCTTGCTCCTTATCATGGATGACCTCGTTGTGAACCTTTCTGAGGCAGTGGGGAGAAATGTAAAACATTCAGACAAGTTGTTATTTGTCATCCCTCTTGCCCACCCCTAAAAAGTTAACGGCATTTAACTCCCTCTCTAAAACACAGAGTTTAGTCAAAACGCTTTTTGTCTGTAGACATAGAGTGAACATTTAATTTGGCTCTGGGAGCTGTGCTGAAGAAACCACTCGGGAGGCCAGAGGGGATGTCTGTGGTGGGTCAGATCTCTCGGTGTGAGAGCGGGTTAGACTCGGAGACAGGGAGGAGTCAGTGTGGTCCGAGGCTCCACGGTGATCCAGAGCTGTGTCCATAGCCGCCCCAGGACAGAAGCTTCCTTGGTTTCTGCAGGACACCCTGGCAAAGCAGTACCCCAAGAACAGCGTGTGGTCTTTTTCATTTGGGAACTGAGCCAGTGGTCTCCCCAGTAGCAGGACTTTCCCACTCTGTCCTCTCTGAGCCCCATCTCAGGAGCTTTTTGGCATGGATATCAAGGCCTGGGATGGGTAGTTTTTGCAGAGAAGATGAATCATCTGCATATTTTCTCCAAAGGGAATTGGGCTTTCGAAACCCAAATCTCTCATGTGATGTAAATAGTGAAGCTGAAGGCTGGGATGCTAGGGTGTTAGGGAGGTTGGCTATGCCGGGGAAGCAGGATTGCTGAGTCAGTGGATGGAGGCAGATTTTGATGAGTGTTGCAAATTACTGGTTTGGCGTGGAACATGAAATGGCTTTGTACCAACTCACTGGTGGGGAAAAAAGGGCTGGCACCAACAGAGACCCTAACTGGCTTAGGCAGAGTGATGGTGTCTGTGAGCTTCTTCTCAGAGACTAGAGAGCTTGTGGGGTGTTACAAAGGCTTCCCAAGGAGGGTGGAACTGATAAACTGTTTCCTAAAGCAAGGAGGAGGGTCACTCTTCTGTCTTACTTATCACTGTCCTGACCATTGGAGTGGGTAAGCATATTTCTTAGAGACGATAACGGAAGTGAGGGGTTGGGGGAGGAAGGTGATCTTGAGGAGCGTAGGAGAAATGGAGTTAAGACATTTTTCCTTTCTGATTCTTCTAGAAGAGGACAAAATTGACTGGTTGGTGGATGAATGCTCCTCTTTGTATGGAGGCTGCATGTAGAAGTTGCTGCAAACTCTGCAAGCTGGTTAGTTAATGTGGAAGCTGAAACCCACCTTGGGAAACTGACCGTTGGCCATTGTCTTGCTTTTGCCTGGGTTGCTCCCTTGTTTCTCTGTAAGTTTATAACAAAGGATTAAGGCTGAACAGATCTCTGCAGTTATAATTATTCATACCAGAAGATCCTGCTAACCTCTTTGTGATTTGAGCAGCTGGATGAGATTCCCGATTTCCATAATCTGTACCTGGAGGCTTATACGGGAGAGGATCCTTGGGGCAAACTTGAACCATGATGCCCACAAGTGGGGATGGTGCGTCAGGGGCCATGGAAAGAACTTCCTGCTGCAGTTGGAGACAGCCTTCCGTGTGGGTGAGGGGGGACATAATCCCTTTTATCCTGGCTTTGGTTTGCTTGATTACCTCTTTAGCAGTGCAGTTCGTGACTGCAACAGGTGTCAGATTTTGTAAAGGCAGAGGCTGAGAGCTTGCCAAGACCCTTTGTCATTCTTGACCTGTGAGGCTGGACCTTTGAAACCATGAAGTCTGAATCCCAATTGTAGTCGCTTGTTCTAGGGATGGGACATAAGACATTGTGTTGATTTCTGACAAAAGTCCATGACC